ACGTAAAGACTGTAGAGCAGTGGTTCTCAGCCTTCCTAATGCCGCGACCCTTTCACACAGTTCCTCATGTTGTGGTGACCCCCAATCATAAAATTATTTTCGTTGCCACTTCATAACTGTAATGTTGCTACTGTTATGAATCGTAATGTAAATATCTGATATGCAGGATGTATTTTCATTGTTACAAATTGAACATAATGAAAGCATAGTGATGAATCACAAAAACAATATGTAATTGTATATGTGTTTTCCGATGGTCTTAGGGGACCCCTGTGAAAGGGTCATTAGACCCCCAAAGGGGTCGCGACCCACAGGTTGAGAACCGCTGCTGTAGAGGGAAAGCGCTCTGAGGAATAGATAACAAGGCCAAGGGCGGGAGCCCAGAGGTGGAGCCTGGGGGGCTAGCATCTTGGAAGAGGGGGTGGCTGAGCAGAGACCCCAGTGAATATATAGCGAAACAATAGAGCACCGCAATCTGGAATCAGATTCCCGGGTTTCACATCCCTGCTCCAGTCACACCAGCTCTGTATGACCTTGGGCTGGTTAGTCAGCCTGTCCTGCCTCAGTTTCTTCATCTAGTGCAGGTGATAACAGCTCCTACTGAGCATCAGAAAAGGCTATTATATCTGCTGTCTATGCTGATTAGGTGCCCGCGGCCGGTGTGGACTAGGGAGGGATGAGGCTGGGTGGGCCAGGTAGGTACCTGGGCTTTTCCCCAAGAGCACTGAGGAGTCTTGGCATGTTTTGAACTGGGTAGGGACAGGGTCAGGTTTGTGCCAGACCCTTCTAGCTGCGATGTGAGGTGCTGGAAGCAGGTAAGGCTGGAGCAGTGTGGTGGGGGAGTAAGTGATGCCTGGAGGGGCGCCTGCAGTGGAGGCACCTTTGGGTGTCTCTTCAATCAGCCCAGCATTAAAAGGATCTATACCAGCGCTGTTCAGTAGAAATACTAGTAGAATGCAAGCCATGTGTGTAATTAAAAGATCTTCTAGTAGCCACATTAAAAAGGTCAAAAGAGATTATTTTATTTAAACAAATCATATAAATATTTTAACAGGTAATCAGTATTTAAAAGTCATTGCTGAGGTGTTGGGTATTCTTTTTATTGCTAAGTCGGAGTCAGATTTGGGGTGCCTTGTTGGAAAGGCTGGAAGGAGAGGTTCTTTTGGATACAGGGTCGGAGCCTGGGATGCCACGTGCAGGGCTTTAGACCGGTCGCAGCCGTCGCAGAGTTCTGCGGTTTGGTTTTCAGGGTGAGGTGATCCCGCTGTCCCAGATCTTGGCCCCCACGGTTCCCAACCAAAGCTGGGCACTCGGATCTTCCTGCTTGCTTTCTTCCGCCCGGGCGTCTCAATCTCAGAGCTGTTTGGCCCTTTAAATCTCAGTTGTCAATTAGGGCTCCTGTGTAAAGGGAACGTCCTGTAATAAGCCTCTCCTTGAACGCGGTGGCCTCGGTCCCGGCCTCGTGCCTCCGTCTAGCAGGAAGTTGGGAATTGTCCCACGTTCTCTTACATGCCGCCGCTTCCACACCTCCTCCGTCACCTCTCGCCTACTCCTCCCTCTTTCGAAGTTGGGCCCCTTGGCCAAGGCCTTCCTTATATGGGCACGGCCCCGAACGGCAGCCGCTGATTGGCTGGAGACGTCACGCGCGATTCTGTCAACAAAGGGGCGGGGGGAAACTAGTCGTGCTCCCAGCCGCGCGGCTGCCGGAGGAAAGGAGGCAGTGGGCGGGCCCGGTTCTCCTTGTACGCATGCGTG